TCCACACCCCCACCCAGTCCTAGCCATGTCCCACCACCTCCACACTCCCACCCAGTCCTAGCCATGTCCCACCACCTCCACACCCCCACCCAGTCTTAGCCATGTCCCACCACCTCCACCCCCTCCACCCCACCCAATTCTAGCCATTACTATTTCTTGCTTGCTACTGAAATGTTTTCCTAATTTTGCTGTTACCCTTGATCCCGATAGGACCCGCAGGGTAGCCAAGAGAGTCTTTTCTGATGAAAAAGAAATCCAGGGCTGGTGAGATGGTTCAGAAGGTGAAGGTGATTGCTGCCCAGTCCAATGGCCTGAGTTCAATCCCTGGAACCCACTTGGTGGAAGGAGAGAAGCTATTCTGGGAAAGTTGTTTTCTGATCTCCGAAATCCTCCACCTGCCTCCACACCATAAACAAACAGACAGACAAATAAATGTAAAATTAATTAATTCGTTTCTTAAAAAGAAAAGAAAGTTCTCTTGGGCCACTCTTTTGTTCAGAACATTATTTATTCAGTCGTCTGTGAGTGGTCAGCATGCACACACAAGCCAGGGTGCATGGTGGTGGGGGTCAGTGGACAACTTTGAGAGCCTCCTTCCACCACATGGGAGCTGGGGATCAAACCCAGGTCTCTAGCCTAGGAGTCGGGTGACGACCTGCTGAGCCATCTGCCTGCGGGTCCCCAGTTCACAGCCTTTGTCTGGCATTCCCCTCCCCCTGTATCTTTTATCGTGACTCTGAGGACTCATCTGGCTTGAAACCACATCTGTGCTGCTCTCCTGGCCCTCGCCCACCCTCTCCTCCCAGTTCACTGTCCCTCACACAAGCCAGACATGCTCTGCTGTCTTCGCCTTTGACCCGGCATCTCTCTCCCTCTGCAGATGGAAGGCTCTGCGTGGCTCACTTCCGGACTCTTTCGCACCATTGCTCAGAAATGTCTTCTCGTCAGCCTTCAGCCCTGCCTGGGACCCTGTTCCCCCTTCACCTGCTCTGTTTTTCCTCTGTGGCACTTCTCCCTTTGACATATAATTACCGGTGTGTTGCCGATCGCCTCACACCATATTCAAGCTCCATGGTGCTTTTGCCTGGTGTGGTAATCCAGTTACTAGGCAATGTGCTTGGCATTTAGGAGAGCTCATTAAGTAAGAATTCCAGATTCCAGATAGAAAAAAGCATACGGGGAAAGAGGAAATCATTACCGAGAATTTCATACAAAGCATAGAAGAAAGGGGGAGCAACTCGTATTTTGAAAGTTCATGGGGTACAAGTTCAGGGACAGAATGATTCAAAACAAACAGACACTCAAGTCAGACATGACAGAAGTCTCAGAACACTAGACACAGTAGTAAATTCTGAGCATTAACAAAAAGAAAGAGTGGACCATGTATACACACAAGGGCTGCATTAACGTCAGATTGTAGTAGCAGGAAGCAATGAGGCATAGGAAGCAAAGACTCATAAATACCTTTGCAAGATCTGTTATTCTTTAAAAAAGGAATTCTGAATGAGTAAAGAAAAAATGGTTTCTATGTAACCACTCTGAGTCAATTTTAAAAGATACCTCTGAAGCAAGGAGGGTACGATGCTGGGGGTGGGGGCAATGTGGAAGGGGGAGAGAGCCCAGCAAGAAATGAGTGAGCGCCAAGGGAAACAGATTAACAACCAAATAGGTAAGTGTGGCTCATTAAAAGTTAGGGAAACAACTAGAAACATGGGATACATGACAGAAAAACAGGGCGGAAGAGAAAAAACTCGGACCCACACAAGGGTCCCAAAACAGAAACAGAGAACCCAAAAGAGAAAAGAGGGGAGTGTATATGATAAATACGGTAAATTTGATTTTTAGACAGTCTTGGGTCTGCTCAGTGGGCAGGGGACAGACTCTGTGCTGAGACCCACAAGCTCAGCACAATTACTGCTTATCAGCTCTGTCCAGGGGCAGGGATTACAGGAGGGTGCGGCCTGGTTTCTGGGAGAGAGAGGCAGCTAGAAGCTCTGTAAGGGAACAACGATGAGGTGGCTGAAATAAGGCCTATATATTAGCAATTAAAATAAATGTAAATGAGCCAAACTCATTGGTTGCATGACAAAATGAAATCAAAACAAGAACAAGCAATGGTTTCGTCTAGACCGTGATAGCTGCCAGGACTATTTCCAGCCCTTTTTTTTTTTTTCTCGTTTCTCTCTGGAGGCTGAAACATTGCACTGTTAGTCTCTGAATCTCCATCACTAGTGAGTGGTACAGTGGATGCCTGCTGGAGCACATTGGTACAAAAAGAATAGAAAACACAGAGTTAAAATAGTAATAAGACTTTAATTCATCATAAAGCCTTTGATTTGGATGACTATATCACTGTTTTGGGTTTGTTTGTTTTTGAGACAGTCTCACAATGTAGCCCAGGTGGATCCTCAATTCATTATTCTCCTGCCTCCGCCTTCTAAGTGCTGAGCATATGCTACCTTGACAAGGTAACCTAATCTTGATTCCAAAACTAATGAAGAACACCACAAGGGAAAATACTGTAGACCCTCTTCACTTATGGACCTAAGTGTAAAAGTCCTAAATAAGGTACCAACTGAACTAACCTAGATATGTAATGTTTTTCAGAATCAAACATCATGATGAAGTTGGGCTTATCTGACAAAAGCAAGAGAATTTCAACCTAAAAAGAAAAATAAATAAGTATATAATTCATTCTAGTAATAGACAACAGGAAGAAAGAACACAGCGGCAATTCTATCCTACCCCACAGCTCTGGGCTGGCTTCGATAAAGTACACAGCTGCTTATGTTCTTTTTAGTTCTTACAACATTGAGAATAGATGGGAAGTGTCCTGATGAAAATTATCTACCCCAAACCTTGTAGTTAAAGACACGGTTGAGAGACATTCCTTTGGAAGTTACAAGGGAAGCCTAGGGAAGATAACTCCGTAGATAGAGTCCTTGCTGACCGTGTATGAGGATCTGAGTTTGGATCCCCAGCCCATGTGAAAACTCAGCACTGTGGTATGAGTTCGTAACCCAATACTGGGAGGTGGAGATGGGAGGGTCCACTGAGCTAGCTGGCCAGTCAGCCCAGCCAATCGATGAGAGTCCCTGTCTCAAAAAATGAGGAGAGGTGACAGAAGAAGGCATGCAATGTTGACTTTTGACCTCCACACACATGCACATACACATGCTCACGTATGAACATGCATATACACAATCCATACACATACACACAGAGTTAGAAATAAGAAAATGTCTATTTGACATGGCATTTGGGGTGTGGCCAATTTCATAAGAAAAGAAAAATAAATAATAGGCAGAATAATAAGAAAAGGAAGAGAAAAATCATCATTACTGTCTTAGCTCTTGTTGAGATTACAGTCCTACTTCTTCATGTCTGGTAGGCTAAGAATTATTTCTTTTACCATACTGCTAAGAAATAAATCTAGGCCCCTCATATGGTGTGATTTTAGGCAAGTGATTTACTATTGAGCTGTGTTTACAGGCCTCAATTCCTTGATACAGGGTCTTGCTATATAGTCTAGGCTGGCCTTGAACTCAGGTCCTCCTACCTCAGCCCCCCAAGTGCTAGGATTACAAGCACACACCACCATGCTCAGTAGTTTGGTTTTCTGGGGCAGGGTTTCTCTGTGTAGTCCTGGCTGTCCTGGAACTCACCCTGTAGCCCAGGCTGGCCTCGAACTCATAGAGCTCCACCTGCTTCTGTCTCCCGAGTGCTGGGATTAAAGGCGTGCATTAGCACTGCCCAGCCAAGAACTTCTTGAAGAGATATTATCTCAATTTTTTATGAGAAATAAACCAACATGATTAATCAAACCAACAAAGAGCCACATCATTTTAAACTTAAAGGATCATCAGCAAGTTGGAGAATACCAAGTGCACTTAATGGTGAGGAAACAGACCTCATGTACTATTGACAAATGTAACAGGCATCTGAGAACCAATCCATCAGCAAGACCCCGTGAGTTCGAGCGTGCATCTCCCACGTCAGCAACCCAAGCCCTGTGCAAATAAACCCAAGACCCTTCCACAGATGCTTGTTATGATATTATTTGTGATATACAGGAGTTGAGAACAACTGGGTCCCCATCAGCAGGCCAACGGATTGACATGTTAGCAGCATATGCTGCTACTGTGCACTGAAGGAAAAACCATAACAACACAGACACATCTTCCAAATTCAATACGCCTAGATTACAGAGTTAGAAACGGAGGACTGCCTGGCAATACTACTTAGTAGGTTAAAATTCCCCATGCTCACCAGAACATTACCTTATCAAATGCATACAGGTATAGAGAATGCCCAAGAAATATTTGCATGCCATTGTCACTGGATAGGGCATTAGGGATGTGGGAAGTGGAAGAAATGGAAATAAGAGAGTAGTCATATCTGAGCTGTACTGCGGATGGTTACACAAACCCTCCTAATTAAATAATAAGTACGAGGATAGCAGGAGCCCCAGATGGCTCAGTGGGCGAAGGTGCTTGCTGCCAAACTCAATGACCTGAGTTCAGTTCTTCCGACCCACTTGGGAAGAGAGAGCCGACTCCTAAAAGCTGTATTCTGACATCACACAAGCACTGCCATAACTTTTTTTTTTTTAAAGAAAATGGTAGATTTGTTTGTTTGTTTTGCATTTTAAGTAAATGGAAAAACAAACACACAGATGTCAAAGGGTCTGCCTTGTTCAAGAAGGTTCTTTGGCTCCTGAGGAAAGTTCTCTGTCCCAATTGCTCCCGAGAAGCCCCTCCTGTTTCTGCGATGGCCCTTTCCTGTGGCCTCTTAACGTGTAGGGCACGGGTAAACTGTGTGGAGGACACAGGGCAAACTGAGACCACCTCTTTCCTCTGAGGGGTGGGCGGCTTCACCCGTCCGCCATGGGAGGCACCTCAGTGGGCAGGCAGGCAGCTTGTGAAACAGCTGGGCCTCTGTGTAGCCTGAGGTAACCCGGCAGCGGCCAGGCCCCGCTGCTCCTGGACTCAGAGAATGGGCTTCTCTGTGTGTGCTTGTTTGCTTTGGTTTAAAGCTAAAAAAAAAATGATTTCACACATAATTAGGGCTGTGGCAGCAAGATTGTGTTCAAGGTACTTTTACTGGAAATATCAAGAGGGGGACAAGGGAGGGTTGTGTTCCTTTTCCAGCTAGGTTGTGAGGAGGAGGAGAAGGAGTGAGGAGCTGGAAGGATGGGACAACAGGCGGTGTTCAAGGTGGGGAGCAGTTTTCCCGGAGGCAGACCCAGTGTGGATTGTGGAGGTGGGTGGTGTGCGTGTGCTACGTGTATGCACGTGTGTGTGCATGTGAGGTACGTGGTGTGTGTGTGTGTGCTCTGTGGAGTGGCAAGGAGTGGGGCTGCTGGTACTTACTCCTGCTTTTCCTCCCTGCCCTCTCTCTCCTCTGTGGCCACCCTTGCCCATGGAGAAGGACACCTCATAGGGAGACGAGGCAAGGGAGTGGATGAAGGAGGAGAAGGATGCAGGCTGAGGCCCCTGGCCATAGGAGAAGCCGAGAGAAAGGGAAGAGAAACAGGAGAGCCGCTGGACACTTCTGCTGGAGTTACACCACCCATATGAGATGACTAGTAGGACAGTCATCAGCTGGACCCAGCTTAGCTGAGTTCTAGTCCTGACTTGGTATATCCAAAGGTCTCCGCATCTTCCTGGACCTCAGATGACTGGGTATCCTTTTGTAGAATGCCAGCTCATGAAAAAAAAAAAATGTGTGCCTCATCTAGCTCCTCCCCTGTCACGTGACACCTGGATGGCCTTTAGTGCATCACGGACCATGGCAAGTCAACCAGGACATGGAATCCACCCAGACCAGTGGGACCCACAGTTTGCTTGTTATCTCAGTTTTAAAGTCCTCTGGGGTTAGTTATTCTTTCATCCTTCAAGGAGAGATTTGATTGGGAAACTTTGGGGAGGGTTGGCCTGACCGCTTCCTACTGAAGGGGTCATCTCACCCCTGGTTGAGGAGGCCTTTTCTCTCTGACCTGCTATAATAATAATAATTACACACACACACACACACACACACACACACACACACACACACACGCGCGCGCATATATATATTTGATCATTGTGGTGGCTTGAACAAGAATGCCCCGTTAGGCTCATATATTTGAACACTTGGTTCCTTGTAGGTGGCACTGTTTGGGGAGGTCTAGCGATGTGGCCTTGCTGAAGGAAGTATGTCACAGGGAGTGGACTTTGGGGTTAAAAAGCCATGTGCTGTTCCCAGGGCCTGCTCTCTGCTTCCTGTGGTTCAAGACTTGAACTCCCAGCTCGCTGCTCCAGCTGCCATGCCCGCTGCTTTCCGCCATGCTTCCGCGATGGACTCTTGCCCCCACTCCGGAACCCCAAACTCAAATAAACTCCTCCTTCTGTGAGTTGTCTTGGTCGTGGTTTTATCACAGACACAGAAAGGTGGCCATTCAGTCATGGTCAGGCCCAGAGCTATGCCCTGGTGATTCTCCAAATAACGAGAGCCCCTGGTATGCTAATGAGATGTCTGACTAAGGAGGTCAAAAAGGGTTTCAGAGTTGAGAGTTGTTGCTATTAGGTTCAGGACATGATTAGGTGGCGAGAACTCTTAGCTCCACCTACCTCCTCTCTGGAAACGGAAGACAGTCTGGGGATTTGTTCAGTTATAGAATGGCCTATATGTGATCGGTTATGTCTGTAAGAAACCCTCCGTTGAAATCTCTGGGCCATGGTGGGAGGACAGAAGCAGCATGCATGCCTAGTATCCTCAGGGTTCTGGGTTCCAGCTCCAGCAACAGCAAACCCCAAACATACCATCACTCACTGAACCTCAAAAGAAAACACAGTTCCGTACAATGAGGCTGGAGAACTTCTAGATTGAATGCAGCCATGTCTGGAAAGAGGAGTGCATCTCGAAACCATGGCCAGAAGCTTCTGTGCTCAGGTGCCTTGAGAACTTTTCTTACATGCCTCTTCATCTGGCTGACAATTGTATCCATTAAAAAAGCTGTTGGTTTATTTATTGTGTGTATGTGCACACATACCTCAGTGCATGCCACGGCATGTTGCGGAGATCAAAAGACAGCTTGTTGGAGTCTGTTCTCTCCTATCCTATGGGTTCCCAGTCACTAAACTCAGGTCTCCAGGCTTGGTAGAGATCATTTTTAATCACTAAGTCACTCCACCAACAACAACTGGTATATTAAAGGATTGAGTTTTCCCAAATTATGAACCATTTTAGCAAATTATCATGCTTAAGGAGATCATAGGAACCCTTGATTCCTAGCTGGTCAGCAGAGCTACAGGAGTCACTTGTAATTGGTGTCTAGAGTGGGGTTAAGACTTGGGGGACTGAGCCCTCTCCCTGTGGCATCTGCAGGGAATATGGGAAATTAGTGACTGAGTTAAGGAGAGGTAGGAAACACAGCTAGAGAGTTTGAGAAGTGATTGGTCTGCGGAAAGAAGAGTTTGTGTCCCAGGTGCTGTGGGTAAAAATGGTTCCTCCTAACCCGTTTTCCTTGTGTCACTTCCCCCAACTCTGTGTCCACATCTCTTCCCACAAGACTCTTTTCCTTCTTTGAATCACCAACCTAGACCCAGCTCTCGTGACTGGCAGAATTTACCCCACTTCATTAGCAAGGAGAGACAGCCAAGCAGATGGGAAGACAAGTCAGCGTGAGGTTCAAGGGTGAGCACAGGTTAGCGAGGTTGACAGGTCGGCTAAAGAGAACATTTCAAACTGGGGGAAAAAATGCTGAGGTGGTAAGGAGCGAGGCCAGGAAGGAAAGCACGGCCTGTGGTGAAGAGGAGGAAGATGACCACTAGGGGAGGCATGGTGAGGGCTGTAGACCCAGGAGCAGCCACCAGATAAGGGCTTTAGGGATGGGTGGGGCATGATGACAATCTCACCTCGGAAAGAATGGATGCCAGGGTGAGTGTGGACAGCTGGCAGGTGCTCCGGTGTTGACACAAATGGGAGGAAGTGATGGCTAATTCTGATGTGTAGGAGACAGGGCCTGGTCACCACAGCAAGGGGATAGGGAGATGTAAAGGTAAGATCTTGGGTTGGTGACGTAACTGTAGCAATGGAAGCCTGCAAAGGGGGGGGGGGGTGAAAGAAGAGGAGGCCTTGCAGCGACAAGGGCGGAGAGAAGAGAAGGGGACGCCATAGTAAGGAGGTGCCCAGTGACACATGACAATTCTAGTTAACAGCCTCCGTTTGATGACCTTAATTGTGGGTGGATGCTTACTTACCCTATCTGGATGGAGCAGGAGATTCTCTGGTCATTCGTCCAGTGCCTGAGAGAGGACAAGGCTCCCTCAGAGGGTGTCCACCCTCACTTTTGTGTAAAGAGAAGACTAAGCAGGAGGACCTGGTAGTTGCAGTCTGAGCGGCTGGGTGCCTCCACACTCCCAACCTGGCGGTGAAGACCTGGAGTCTTCCTGGAGAGCTGCTGATCTTCAATCACCAGTGGAAGCCTGGAAATGCTGGTTCTGTCACCTGTTTCTCAGCGCTGATGTTAATTTTTTAAACCCATCTAGGTGTTGTGTGATTGTGATTTTTTTCATTGTATGACCATTTTTTATATAATAATAAACAATCTCTGGGGACATATTTTTATAATTTTTAATTCTTGTATGTGAGTGTGTGCATGTGTGTATAAGTGTGGGCATGCCCATGCTACAGTGTGCATGTGGAGGTGAGAGGGTGGTCTTGGTTCTTGGTTTCCACTTCTTTGAGACAGAGCCCCTTGCTGTTTTTCTGCTGCATGTACCAAGTGAGCTTACCTAGAGCTTCTGGGAATTCTCTTGTCTCGGCCTCTCATCTCACCTTAGGAACACTGAGGTTACAGACGTGGACCACCACATGTGGCTCCACATAGGTTCTGGGGACCTGAACGCATGTCCTCACACTTTTGCAGCAGGTATTGACCCACTGAGCCATCTCCCAGCCGTCTGGGCACACAATTTGTGACAATGCAAATGTCTTGGTTGTCATTAAAATTCCTCCCATAGCTGGCACTCACGTGTGCGTCTTTTCTGATCTAGGTTTTACTGTGGTTGAGAGATGATTTCCCACAGCATTCAGCATGGGTCCTCAGTAACCACTGAAAGCCAGGGTCTCTCCTGTCCTCTCCTGTTGTTTATCCTCTCCACATCCCATCGGTTCTGTTTCCTCAGTGTGTTTGCTCCTCAGTGGTATACACTTTGATGCTACTCTGATGCTTGAATTCTCCTGCTCACTTGCTGTACCTTCCACCTAAGTTCCACATTTTTTTTATGATACAATTCCATGGCTTTTGAATTTGATAAGATATTCCAGGCTCATCTTCAAAGTCCTGATATGGGTCTGTGACTAGCCTTTTCTCTGAATATCTTAGGTCCTTTTTAGTGAGAAAAAAAATAAGATTAATGGTCAGGATCTAGGCTCAAGGTTGGCTCACCATTACTGAGATGCCTTTGCTTCTGGAAGTGTAGACTATTGAAAATGTCAGCCTGCAGGTGCAGAGAATAAGAACTTCAGAGCACCCAGCCAGAAATGGGACATACACCCCACAGGCCCTCCTCCCAAGGCTCAGTGATCATTGCGGAAGATGGAGCCAGAAGAGTATGAGAGCCAGAGGCAGTAGATGCTTACAAGGAAAGATTCCTCTGGACACAGCGGGGCAGCAGCACGTACGAACTCATGGTGGTTGGGACAGCACGCACAAGACCCAAGCCAGACCAAATCCCAGCAAGGAAAGGGAGTTAGGCACAAAGTCCACCCTTAGCTGTGGCGCTATCGGCAATTGTCAGCTTCTGGAAAGGACAACCGTTTTCTCTAAGAGCGTACCCTGTTGTAAGTCGATCGTGCTCCAGTGGGAGACCACACATCCAAGAATGTTTGGGCAACACAAATTAGTCTTGATATGTTAAAAAAAAATAGGACATAAAGTTGGATGGGTAGGGAAGGAGGGTGGATCTAGGAAGAATTGTGGCGAGTGAGTATGATTCAAAACATGTGGTACAAAGTTCTCAAAGAGCTGTTAAAATATTCTCAAAAGAGAAAATGTTGACCCATTTTAATGTTTTCATACAACATTGGAGAATTGTGCTATTTTCAAGGAAATAATGGGCCTTTGGCAACCATATTGTTTCATGTACTATGGTTGTATCCTGAGACACGGAAGCTGAATGACGGGCGTGCCCTCCATCCGTCCTGCGAGCAGGTACCTGTGGTGACCCAAAGGGCCTCACTGCAGCAGAGAATTTCAAGAGTTTGGTTTGTAGGGGTATGGAGATGGATCAATGTGTAAAGTGCTTTCTACACAACCATGAGGATCTGGGTTTGGATCCCCAGCACCCACATAAGAGCCGGTTGTGCATCGTGTGTGTGTGTGTGTGTGTGTGTGTGTGTGTGTGTGTGTGTGTGTGTGTGTGTGTAAGCTCAGCATGGGCTTGGGGGAGGAGCCAGGAGAATTCCAGCAGCTCCCTGCCCAGGAAGTTCCAAGTTCAACGAGAGATCCCTTTTCAGATGATAAGATGACAGCAATAGAAGATGCCAGACGTCATCCCGTGTTCATCATGTGCACACACATGGGCAAGTGCACAGGCACGCACTCGTGCACACACACACAGAGTCTCCGTGAGGTGATTTACGCTTGAGAGGTCAGAGCCAACTGGTCCTTCTGTGCTCTGTCCCCCTTCCTTCCACCTCCTGTTTATAGCACCTGAATTGTGTTAATTGCAAAAAGAATCTCTTAAACACCCCATGCCTAGTATTGTTTACCTGGAGAACAAGCCGCCTTCTGTGACCTTGTTGGTCTTCGGTGAGGCTAGGTGCTGACCTTTCCCCGGGTGGGCACCTCGGTCCACTGGGCCCCAACAATAGGTCTTTCTTTGGCTCCTTTGTGCTCTTCCCTCTCTCCACAAACAGTTGTAAAACACGCAGTCCCTCCCGAGCTGAGCCTGCCCAATGCCAGAGAACAGCTCAGATGGGTCTCAGCGAGGGAGATGGCCAACTCCTCATGTTTTGAGAAAAAACACAAATGTTTAATCTTCGTCTTATTACAGCCTCTTCTGTGTTTGAAATAGAGGTCTCACTTTCTCACCCACAGTGTCCTGGACTTGCTGGCTGCAAGTCTCCAGTAGGTTGCCAAAGGAAAAGTAGGGCCACTGCACCCCAGTCGTCCCGCAGGCCTTAATCTGTGAGAAGAGATTAGCTACCAAGGCCAGAAACATCTTCAGCACAGCACACGAGCCTTTGCCGAGCGGCACTGCCACGCAGGAGCCTGCACAGTGGGGAAGCCAGGGCAAGCCAGTTAGTGCCTCAAGAAGCCTCTTGTTCAATGGAGAATCAGACTCGGGTGACAGGATTCTGATAGGCACAGCTTCTACTTTAAGGAGTGAAAGGAACTATTACATCAATTCAAACAAGTGAGGGACAGTTCCTGCGATTAGGAGAGGTTCTGTGGAGGATGGGTATGAAGTGAGCTCTGGAAGGATGGAGGAACGGGAGGAACAGGGGAGGCTGAACAGGGATCATATTAGTGTATTAGTACTTTTCTTGTGACAAAATCCCCAACAAAAATGATCTAAAGAAGGAAGAATTATTCTGGCATATAGTTTGAGGCTATAGCCTAGCATGCTGTGGAAGGCTTGGTGGCAGAAGCTCGAGTCATATTGCATACCCCAGCAAGGAACAGAGAGACACAAATGTGATGCCCCGATTGCTTTCTCTTTTCTGCCTAGTCCAGGACCTCAGCCCAGGAGATGGTCCCACCCACAGGTAGTTCGGATCTTCCTACATCAATTCACTTGCTCTAGAAGCTCCTTCACAGACACGCTCCAAGATGTGTCTCCTAGGTGACTGCAGAGCCTGGAAATTTGGCAGTCAATGTTAACTATGTTAACAATGTTAACACAGGAAGGAAGCCACATCTTCACAGACTAGATCCTTTCCCAAAGTCACCATAACTGGTTTGGACTAAGACTTCAAAGGCTGGTGATAAGTAGAGGGTATATGGTATTGGGTGACCAGATGGTTATTGGAACTAGAATCCTATCTTTTGCGGTGCTTACTGGCATCTGGGTTGGGGCCTTGGCTCTTGTATGAACATTGCCCAAAACAATGTCATTGGGGTGAACTCAAGCCAAAATGAGGAGCCCCCAGATCAATGGCTTCCACTAGCAGATTAGGGCAGGCATTAGCAGAGGACTTTGGCCAGCATGGATGGAGTGGGCTTGGGATAGGAAGGAGGTGTCTCCATGATGCACATAGCCAGCCAACCATGGGAAAGGGCCATCCGTCAGTCTGAAGAAGGGAGCCGCTCTCATTACAAACAACTTCTTGGCTTCTCTGCTAGGCTTCAGAACTTAGACCATGGTTTGCCTTTAGAGGCATAACCAAAGGACACTGAGGCCAGGAAGAAAGGCTAGAGAAGCTGGCTTCTTAAACAGGGAGAGCTGGGCTGCCTAATGTCACCATGCTGCCAGTTCTTAAAAGCTTTGTGTTACCCAGAGACCTAAGCATTAAAACAGTGTACCTATATATGACAAATACCTTGTAATGAAAATCCTAAGAATCATGTTCCCAGTAATCAAAGAGCTCCAGGTGAAGCAATAGCGAGGAAGAACACCCTGATAGAAGCAGCATCAGATAAGTGACAGCTGATGTTGATTTCAAGTTTACAGGATCTAAAAATCACGTAAGAGACCAGGCTCTGAGTATGTCTGTGAAGGAGTGTCTAGGTTGGGTTAATTGAGGTGGGAACACCCACTCAAAATGTAAGTGATGCCATCCCCTGTGCTAGTATTATGGGCTGAATATAAAGGAGAAAGTGTGTTGTATGATATTTTGTTTGTGTTCTGACAAATAAAGCTTGCCTGGAGATCAGAGGGCGGAGCTAGCCACTAGTTAACCATTGAGGCCAGGCAGTGGTGGCTCACATCTTTAATCCCAGCACTAGGGAGGATCATGCCTTTGATCCCAGCATCAGGAGGTGGAGACAGGATCTTGGCAGCCCATTCGGTCTGAGGATTCGTAGAGGTAAGAAGTCTCTCTGGTGGCTGCTGCTCAGCTGCTCTAATCTTTCAGCTTTCACCCTCGCTATCTGACTCCAGGTTTTTATTGTTAAGACTAATTAGGACCATGCTTCAAAAGCGGGCTGAGCACTCGCTCTCGTCTCTTTCTGCTTCCCAACTGTGGACTCAGAGTGGCCAGCCACCTCATGCTCCTGACACCGTGACTCCATGGCGTCCCTGAGAAGTCGCCCCGTGCCCTCAAAGTGTGATTTCAGATAAACCTTTCCTCAAGTGGCTTTTGTTAGGTTCTGTCACAGCAACAAGAAAAGTCACCAGTGCAGGTGACAGAGACAGGCACCAGTCATGGGGAAGCCATTGCAGCCTACCAGTGACATTTCAGAGTGTTTTTATTTCTGCTTTCTCTCTCTGCAAGTGCTCTCTCTCCTGTATCTTTCTCTCTCTGTCTCTCTCTCCCTCTCTCCTTCTCCCTCATTCTCCCTCCCTCTCTCCTCCCAGAACCCCCCCTTTTTGTCTCTTCTTTCTCCCCACCCCACTGTATACATGCTGGGCAAGAACTCTACCACCAAGATATGTCTCCAGCCCCTGCCTTTTGAGGACAGGGAAATGCTATGTCACCTAGGCTGGCCTTGAACTTCAGATCCTCCTATCTCAGCCTCCTGAGTGCTGGGATTATAGGAGTGTATCACCACCCAGCTCTCATTGATTTTTTTTTTTTGGCAGTGAGCAAGAATCAACTGTGTTCATTCCCCAAATTTATGTATGTCAGTCATACTTACTTTTGTAATTAAATAGTTAAAACAAAATGGCTAAGGAAATAATACCATGGTTGCTTAAAAATAAATGGATTGTTTTGGAAAATATAAGAAAAGTAAGTCACTAGAGAAGAATGCCGAAAAGTAAAGCAAAAACAACTCTGTGTATTCAATCTAGTTTAAAAACAGGTCCAGCTGGGACTAGATTCTAGGGAAATGAATTTGTTTCTTCTTTACACCACTTTGGAGTCCGCACCTGCTGGCTCTTCTTCCAGAATCACTTCCCCACTGAGCACATGCGTGGTTCACTCCTTCACCCTAAACATCCTTGCTCTTCTGAGACTTTCTCTGCATACACTCTCTGTGTGTTACACCTGCATTCACCACACAGGCATTCCCTTGCTCTTCCATGTCTCTCTCAATTGCAGACAATCACACCTGACCCATGCCCTCCTCCCCTGTGCTCTAGAGACACCATGTGGATGGATAAGTTTGTCCATTTGTCTACTGCTTTGTGACTAATGCCTAGGTTAGAATTTGGCCCACCATAGGTCCTCAAAAAATATATGTGCATAGGTACGGAACCTCTTTCCACAACAGGGCCAGGCTGGCTAGCTCAGCATTGCATTCAGCAAGAACTTGTGGAAACAGTGAGATCTGCAGAGTACATGACCTCAGCAACCTCAGAGCCAGGCCCTAGGAGAAATACAGGGAAGGCCTCTTTCCTGGTGGTTGATGCTCAATACACAGGGTAAATTTCCACCTTGAACTCGTGAGTGCTTTTAAGAGCTGTTTGCTCCTTGGCTGGCGTTGGGTTAGAGGAGCTTTGGGCTCGTCTTGCGCTCTTTGTCACAGCACATTCTCTCAAAGGCTCTCTGTCTTCTGCAGAATACATCCTTTGCATCCTCAAATCTGGGTACCAATAATGGTGGCAAGCCACAATTGTATAGCCAGGGAATACTCAAGGCTGTTGATCCCTGAGCAGTGATGGTGGTGTTGATAAGAAATGCACCATCAGGTACAGTTCAGTGGGAGTGCTTGTCCAGCATGCACAAAGCCCTAGGTTCAGCCACCCTTGGTTTCCCCACCTGGACCAGCCTTGGGTGAGGTAAGGCTACCTGTAGAACAAAGACAGGGCCTTCAGGCCATCTTAATACACGATACCTTTTCATTCTGTTCTTCACCAAGACTTAAAAAAAGTCTCCAAAGAGGAAGAGAAGGCAATGTCACAGAATGCTTTCCAAGGCTCTGAAGAGACTCAGGCTGTTCTGGTGTGTGGTGCATTGGAACTGGGGTCAGGGAACCTTTTCAGTGAAGGGTCAGGCTGTGAATATTTTCATCTTCAGAAGTCTGGGAGGCTATCCCAAATGTTCAGTTCTGCCTCTTCAACAGGGAAGCAGCCATAGGCAGTGTAAATGAAGGCCGTGCCTGGACTCCAGAGAATTTTATTTAAAATAGTTAACCTCCCGGATTGGGCTGAGTGTGGTCTGCTGACCCCTGCTCTTGACTGTTGTTTGGCGGTTCCACACCCATTCTCCCCAGTCTCCTGCCTGTCCGCACTGGCCTCACCTGTGGAACTTTCTTTGGACAGTGCAGGTTAGCTGAGGCTTGAGGGTGGACCTGCCCTCTTATGCCCTCACCTCTACAAGAAGGACACACCCTCGAGAGTCCACACATCTGGAGATGCTACTAAAATTTGTGGAAGAGGTAGGCCTGGACCAGCCAGTCTCCGGCAGACCTACAAGCATGTGAATGGAAGCAAAGAACTAATGATGCAAGGGACTGAGTTTAGTGTAGTTTGTTACCCAGTGTATCGTGGCAACAGATGATGAACGACATCGACTCCCTTGCTGTCTATCATCCCAACACAACTCCTTCAACAGGAGCTCTCTCCTTTCTCAAATGTGTCCCCCATCCTTCTCCCCTTCCTCTATATACCCCATAGCATAACACGATGTGGCCCTTTGCCCCTAGTCCCCAGTCATGTATGTTGATTCCATGAGTGAGATGGGAATTGGGTGACAGGCGAGAGCCTCTGTCATCGACCACAGGCAGGTTCTGTTCACTCTTCCTTTTTGTCTATCTAACGCCAGCTCTGTGGTTTTATCCCTCGACTATTTCCCTTCGTCCTCTGCCTCTGTAGCACTGCATTGTTCTCCCAGCAGGCCTCCCCTTCACCCGAGGATGGCCTTTCTTGTAGAGTCATTACCTTACTCCAAACACACTTCCGGAAGCAAGCGCCAAAACATCAGCCCCTCTGCAGTGGCCAGCAATGGTCCTCATTGTGTCTGTGAAGTAGGTAGAATTCAGAACATGTATTAAGACCCGGTGGCACAGGCCAATAATCCCAGCAAGTCAGGGGTATTGAGGTAGAATTATAGAAAGTTCAAAGCTGGGCGTTGGAGATTTAGTAAGACCTGTGCTTAAAAAAAAAAAAAAAAAAAAAAAGTTGTGTTGAGGATATAGGTTAGTGAAGAGTGCTGCTTGCATGGCAAATATAAGTTCTTAAGTTAAACCCCCAGGACTGTGGATAGATAGATAGATAGATAGATAGATAGATAGATACATACATACATACATACATACATACATACATACATACATACATGGATGATGGATGGACGGGTGGATGGATGGATAGATGAATGGATAGATAGATAGATAGATAGATAGATAGATAGATAGATAGATAGATAGATAGATAGATAGATAGAAAGTATTTGTTAGATAGCAGGAAGAGGAAGGAGATGGGTTAGATTTCTTTTATCAAAAGTAAACTTATCAGGATCCAGATCTTCAAAAGAGACAGATGTCTAAGGTGTATGTCTCTATCTCTGTGTCTATCTGTCTGTCTGACTGTCTCTCTGTATACACAATCTGCCTGTGTACATGACAGGAGGATTGTTGTGAATTCAAGGCCAGCCTGGGCTACATAGGGTGTTCTAAGCTAGCCTGTTTCAAAAACCAAACCAACCTACCCACCACACCCCCATACTTTGACGCTGGGCTTCTTGGTTTTTAAAACAGACTTTGAGAAAGTCTCTACTTTAGGCTTTTCCTGACCTCGGACAATACGTCAGTGAATTAACTTCCAGGGTGTCAAAGCCTTAGCAACTAGCTCTTGACTCCTCTGGGGTTTTCCTTGACCTCCCACTTGAAGAGGATCCAGGCCCCCAGTCTGAAGTGGGTTCCCATGCAACGCACCTCCAGTTCTCACTTGTCAGCTAACATATTGTCGTCTTCATTCAGTGGACACAAGAACCTTCCACATGATACAAGATCATTTCTAGAATACAAAAGGACAAGAGTGGTGGGCTTGAGGGAGGAGGCAGTTAACTTGATTTTCTATTTGCATCCTGCTGGTCACAGTAGGAACATTTCCCATGAGTGTGTCTTGAACTTTATGGCTTCAAATAAAGTGTGTGTGTTTACATGAATCTGTTCTTTCATCTTTTCTGTGCTGACTACCTCTAGATGGGAGAATTGGGCCCCTGCCTTGCAAGAGATCTGGTGAGTCAACACAGAGGACCCCTGGTAGGGCAAAGACCCTAGAGACAACTCTCCAGACAAGGCCACAAATGAAGCTGCAGCCACTTCCTGTGGAATCAAGCAGGACAATTGAGGAAGGTCTGGCTAGTTTTATGCCAACTTGACACATGCTAGAGTCATCAGAGAGGAGGGACCCTCAACTGAGAAAATGTCTCCATAATACCAGCTGTTGGCAAGCCTGTAGGGCATTTTCTTAGTGATTGATGGGGGAGGGCCCAGCCCAATGTGGGTGGTATCACCCTGGGCTGGTGGTCCTGGGTTCTATAAGAAAGCAGGCTGAGCAAACCATGGGGAGCAAGCCAGTAAGCAGTACCCCTCCATGGCCTCTGCATCAGCTTCTGCCTCCAGGTTCCTGACCTGTTGGAGTTCCTATCCTGACTTCTTTTGATGATGAACAATGATGTGAAAGAGTCAGCCAAATAAACCCATTCCTTGCCAAGTTGCTTTGGTCATGGTGTTTCATTGCAGCAGCAGAAGCCCTAACTATGACACTGGGGAATGGTGGAATTGGCCAAGAAGACCCTACAAGGTGAGACCCTGTAAAGAAATGGTTTGCGAGAGGAAGCAAACAGGAGCACACTGCAGCCAGCCAAGCTTTGAAGGGGACTAGTATTAGCCAAATTGCTGGGACTTTTACAGACCTCAGTTAGCAACCTTTTTAATTTTTTTTAATTTTTATTATTTATTTATGGGCAGGATCTCATGTAGCCCAGGTTAGCCTCAAACTTGGTAGATAGCTGACAATGATCTTGAACGCCTGATCCTCCTGCCTCCATCTTTGAAGTGCTGGGATCACAGGCTCTGCCTACGATGGCTGTCTCCTCTTCTTTGCCCTGAGAACAACATATTTCATATTCTCAAAATCACGCTGCTCCAAGTGGGCCCAGGCTACAAATCCCAGGGTGGGAAAGGAGAAAAGAAGAGAGTGACTTTGTCTCTTGCGGCTTCTCTCTGTCCCAAGTCTTAGCCTCCTCTCAGGTGGCAGCTCTCCCAGTGAACCCTGTGTTCTTTCAGTTTCTTCTGTGGTTCTGCCACAGGGCTGGGATGGGGAGATGCGTCCCTTCAGTGTGGTCCTTGTATAAAGTGGCCTTGGTCTGGATTCATATCCCTGACCTTAGAGCCACCTCCACCCACCCAGGTTCTTTCCTGCCCCACAGGGTCTTTTGGCTCCTGAAGGTGACACACGCTTGGGTATGTTACTCAACTGTTCCCGTTGGGAGTCATTCCCGCCTCCTCAATCTCATAGCTCTAATTTTTTTATGTTTATCTGTTTTTTCGCTATGTGTATATGCACATAGCACACTTGCCGCGGGGTGTATGCAGAGGTCAGGAAACAGCTTGTGGGAGTTGGTTCTTTCCTTTCATCACGTGGGTCCTGGAAACTGACCTCAGATTCTCAAGCACTTTGACCAGCTGAGCCACCTCGCTGGCCGACTCCTTGTAGATTTAGTAAACCTATCACGGTTTTGGTCACCTCCATCCTGATGAGGCACGGGGACAAAAGCAAGGTCCACTTTTGGAAACACTGGCCCCTCAAGTCTTCCTAACTCTTACCTGTAAGTGCTGTTGCTTAGTTCAAGCCAGCTCCCACATTCTGCATACCTCCACACCTATTCGCTCAAACCCTTCCCATTTCCTCCCGGTTCTTTTCAGAAGTCAAACCAACATTCTTTCGTCTGAATCATTCCGTTTCATTGTCCTTCCTTTGAGGCAAAAATGCCACACAAGCAATGGACAGGGAGATTAAAAAAGAAAAGATTCAAAGAACAGAAATCCCCACAGTTAACAATTAAAATTATTGGGTGGTGGTGGTGGTGCATGCCTTTAGTCCCAGCACTGGGGAGGCAGGGCCAGGTGGATCTCTGTGAGTTCAAGTCCAGCCTGGTTTACAGAGCGAGATCCGGGATAGGCTCCAAAGCTACACAGAGAAACCCTGTCTCGGAAAAAAAAAAAAAAATCCTACACACAAAACAATTAAAATTACTATCTTGGCTTATCAGCAATACTGTTATTTTCTAGTATATGTTCAAAGGTACTTTAATTTTATTAACTAAAATTGGGTCATTGTGTATGAGAATAAAGCAGCTCGGAGATGGAACGCTTGAGGTCGAATGTCAGTTCTACTTATGCTTGCTGGGTAAGTTACCAGCCCTTGTGCGCTTCACTTCCTTCACGGGAAATGGGAAGAGTAACAACATTGTGGAGTGATAATAAGGGTTGAATCATAAACGCATGGAAAGTGCAAGGAACAGCAACCAGTACACAGCAAATGCCCAGTGACTCGCACTGGTCTTGCTGGTGTTAGTGGGGTCCCAGGGCTCAGCAAGAGCCTTGGAAACTCACTGCAGGGAGATTTGTCAAAATGGACTGAGGCATGAAATGATGTCCTGGTACTGTGGGGTTTAATGTGCACTTGACCGAATGCATCTCTGATAGCTGTCACCAGGAGATTAAAGCTGCCACTTACATCTAGTTCTATAACAGCCTTTGTGGTTTGGCACGGGAAACAAGGTCTCTCCGGGGACCCATCACTCTGTATTCTCCAGCGTTTAGATGAAAGATGAAGTAGTTAGAATAGAAAGTCAGATTGATTTGTGTTCCCAGAGCAGCAATCTTGGAAGAGCAAACAGAGAGGAGATGCATTAAAGACACCACAGTGTGGCCACGCTGCGCCTCAGAGCTCACCTCCGGCTTCTTCATAGGTTGGAGGATCAGAGATGCAGGGAGGAAGGGAGGGGTTTGTTCAGCACCTCCTGACAGGCGGTCTCTTCCCAAGGAGGCCCTACCTTCTTCCAACTCCCCTTCTCCAGGGACCCTGCAAAGGCTCTCTACGGGGCTGGGTACCACCTCTTTTGAATTCGTTGATGCTCCCTTTCCTGACAAACATGTGATGAAGCTCAAAGTGCACTTACCTCCCTGGTCCTCAAAGCCAGGACCAGATGGAGCAAACTCAATGATGGTGGGCCCTGGCAACTCACCTCACTGCTCTAGGCTCTGAATCACTTCCTTCTTGAAAAATGCAAGCTGCAAGACTGGCAGAGTGCTCCTGTAGCACGCACAAGGTCCTGGGTTCCACCCATGGCACCTAAAATAAGCAACCCTTTCTGCTAACTACCCAGTGTCCGTATGCCAAAGCTTAACATTTAAACTGATGTTGAGTAAGAAGTAAGACCAGCCAGGCGGTGGTGGTGCACGCCTTTAATCCCAGCACTCAGGAGGCCACTTGGCTCCTTTCTCAGATGCATTTGAGACTTTGGCCATCCTTGTTTTACTAGGATATATGTGGCCCATTCTGAACGCCAGAGGACAGGTATGTAGAGCACTCAGATCACCAGTCACAGCTTCTCCTCCCCACTCCAAGAACAGTTGGGCACCAGTAGCTGCTTTGGTTTAAATGCCTCCCCTAAATGTCGATTTCTGGGAATCCGGTGCCCAGGGTGGCAGTGCTGATGGGAGTCTTTCACAGGACTCTGCCTTCACTGGGGGATTTGCCATTTGTGGGTAAAGGGTTGGTGGGTCATTGCAGGAAGGGTTTGCTGTAACACCAAGCTTTCTCCTGCTCTCACTCTGTCTTGCCGTGTGACAGTCTCTCGTCATTCAGCATGATGCCCTCACTGGATGCTGAGCAGGTGCCAGCACCACGTGCGTGTGTTCCGCAGCTTCTAGAACTGTGCACCAAACCCCTCTTCTTTATAAGTTCCCTGCTGTCAGAAATCTTGTTACAGCAACAGAAAACAGATCGAGACAGTAACAGAAGACTGCCTTTGGAGACTTTGGTCAATAATCTGCCTTCCAGGAGGGCTCCTAATTGACCCTGCATGTATAGATCTCAGGCTCTCTTAGCTAGAGAGACCTGGAGACAAAGGATGGGCCTTATCTAGAAAATTCTAATTTGTCCTTTTGTGAGTCAGTCCTGGCTCCTCAGCTCTGGGAATGTGTGCTCAGCTTAAGAACACATTTGGTTGCTGACTTGAGCCCACAGGACCCGCTGCCCCTTTCCCAGCGATGCCCAAACTGCAGCCTGCCCTCTTCTCTCTGTCACACTCACCCTCACTGGTGTGGGAGCATCATGGCTGTAGGGACTGGCACGGTGTCACCAAGAGGGAGAAATGACACAACTTTTGAGTGTTTTTATTATTAAATCAACACATGATTATTAAGAAATTCTGAGCAAATATAGGAAGAAAGGACAAAGTTGAAAGTGAAAATCACCCATATTCTTACATCATCACGTTGATATGTTTTCTAGATTTTAAAAGTGTGGATGTTGATGTTTAATATATATGTGTATATATGTACACACATACACACACACACACACACACACATACACACACATACACACACACACACTCACTCACTCACTCACTCACTCACTCACTCACTCACATAAAATCAGTGGTATGCTAGAAAATCAAGCCTGAAGACAAAGCCTTGGTTTACCATGCTTACCAGATCTGGCTGTAAATCTTCCTATAGTGGGTGATTTTAAGCAACCAATACTGTAACAACTGACTTTACAAACTCCTGAAGACTAACCTGTCGAATTTGACTGGCTGATAGAAATCATCTTCTACAAATCTCAGTCAAATCAAATAGCATGTAGATTTATGCTTTCATTTTTTATTTTAATAGTGTGTGTGTAGCAGCTGCAGCAGCAGTAATATTAGTAGTGGTGGTTACTTTTCTGTTGCTGTGATTAAATGCCATGACCAAGGCAACTTTATAGAAGGCGGAGT